GATTATGACACAAGTTCACTAAGTACTCAGCTCAATTACTACTAAGGTTTCAAAGAAACAAAATGCCACTTCGCAAAGGAGAAAATGATGCCATAATGAAAGAAAAAAAGAAAAAGAATTCTAAAATATTGTCCTATTGTACAACTTGGTAGGTAACAGGTCTTAGTAAATACAAATATAAAAACAACAAGAACAAATCCACACACAAGACAGTGAACACTGAATTTCTTCCCCATTACTCAAGAGAACACAGACAGGTTGCCAGCTGCTATCGGCCTGTTGTGATTCCTAGTTATCCAAATCAGGAAAGCAGAGGACAGAATAACAAGAAAAGTCAGAATGCTCTTGTTGGTTACTCTAATTTTCCTGGCCTAGTGTCCAAATAAAATCAATCTGTGACCACAATTTACTACATTCAATAATTCAAGCACTCAGCCTAACATTCCTTTCTCATCTGCTTGCTGACAATTGCCAACCTGTAAATGACTGATACCAGATAACTTTCTAAATAAAAGGATGAGTGTTATCTAAAGGAAGAAGTTCTTTAAGTGAGGAGAAAGAAAAAGGTAGAAGAAGAGAACATGGAAATGCCAAAGACAGATACTGCATAACTTTTGCCTAAAGGAAACATTTGAATAATATATTTAAGCAAGAACTGCATTTGCAGTACCTTAGTGAGAATACCACTTTTAGGGGGTATGATGCAATCCAACTGGTATGGTTCACAAAGATGAGTTTTAATACAGTAGCCTCATTATAAAGGAGATCTCATTCCAGAATATTCCCTAGTCAATGCATTATTATAATTACATGGCTTAACCAATACTGATGATAAGAGATCTTAAAAACAGAAAATAATACAATTGTAATTACAATGTGTTTGTAAGAAACATGGCGTAAGAGGAATAGGTAGTAAATATTACACCCTGGTATCACACATTTTTTTAGATAAATGTATTTATTACACCATATAATCATATTATGCCATATACCATATCAAACCATATGGTCACGGAAAGTAAATAACATGAGGAAAATATAAATGGACAGAAGTTAATGTTTAAGTATAAGCTTATTCATTTAATTGTGGGTTGATGAATAGTCTCTTTTGGGCATTTACATAGTACAAATACATAAGAACTTTGTTTACTCCCCACCAACATTTTAAAATACTAAAATCTACATTACTTGTTAAAGATGCTTGATAACAGCCAAGAATTAAAAATAACCTAATATCCCCAAAAACAATCAGTTAAATAAATCATATTTTATCTAATGATAGATAAAAAGTTTTGCTATATTGTTTAAAATTTTCCAAAATCATATAGTGTATTACACAATAAAGAATAAGTGCAAGCTGGGTGACTGTGGCTCATGCCTATAATCCTAGCTACTCAGGAGGCTGAGATCTGAGGATCACGGTTCAAAGTCAGCTGGGGCAGAAAAGTCCAGGAGACTTTTATCTCCAATTAACCACCAGAAGTAGGTAGCACTGTGGCTCAAAGTGGTACAGCTAGCCTTGATCACCAACGTAAGGAATAGCACTCAGGCCCTGAGTTCAGGCTCTATACCTTCCTTCCCTCCTCCCCACCCCAAAAAAGAGAACAGCTTGAAGTAAGTGCAATACAGAAAGAATAGATGGAAAATGTGTATCTATATCTTGATTGTAAGATTATAGATGACTTTTCTTGTATTTTTCCAAAGTTTTTCAAATTTTGAATATGCATTCCTTCTACAATTGTAGTTTGGTTTGGGGAGTTTTTAGTGAATCTGCAATTTCCCATTGCAACCTTTTTAAAGCTAGTATTTTACTGGCAGTTAAGCCAAATATTGAAAATAAATCATTATGCAGACAATTTTTCATTTCATGTAGTTAACAATGACAAGATATTCCTTTAAGTGAGCATAAGGAAAACAGTGTTGGAGGTTCACGCCTATAATCCTAGCTATTCAAAAGGCTGAAATCCGAGGATCATGGTTCAAAGCCAGCCCAATCAGGAAACTTCCTAAGACTCTTATCTCCTATTAACTACCAAAAACCCAGAAGTGGAGCTGTGGTTCAAGTTATAGCGTACAAAATTTGAGCAAAAAGCTCAGGGACAGAACCCAGGTCAAGAGTTCAAGCCCCAGTACAGGAAATACATATATACATGCATACATATACACAGAAAAGACTATAGTTTATGGAAGTGGTGCTGTGGCTCAAATAGTAGAGTGCTAACCTTGAGCACAAAGAGGCTCAAGGATAGGGGCCAGGCCCTCAGTTCAAGCTGCAGGACCAGTAATTAAAAAAAAAAGTATGTTCAATTTCAGTATCTTCTGAATTAATAACAATTTAAATTTTTAAATTATTTCTTAGAGGAATTCTTTTATCTGTAGTACTTCTATCTACATTCGACTGAAGTCACTTTTATAACTTTTATCCACCTCCAAATAAATTACCAGCTCTTACAGAACAAAAATCCATTCAACAGTAAACACTAAAACTTGAAGAGGTCAACGGGAAAGTTTCAGAAGATCCAAACACACTTTCTAATTATTGGCAATTTATATTTAACTTCATTAACTTAGAGCTTCTGAGGCCCTAACTGATCATTGTCAAGGAAGTGTACCAAACACATAAAGCCATGGCCCCTAAAGCTTAAAGCTCCCCTTCCTGAATCAGAAGCTTCAGGATGTATATAGTCCAACAATCTGGCCCTTTTAAGTAAAGATAACAGAGCAGAAATGTAACAATAAAAAGCTTCTCTACAGAATTTGCAAACTGTAACAAAATTCTCCCTGTCATAGAGAATTAGTTAGTCCCTACCATTAACACATCCATTCTTATCTATAGTAGGCCTTAAACATGGATACAGTTCAAGAAAATCACACATGTACTGCAGAGTAAAAGCAAACCCCAGAGGCACCTGTGCCTGGTAACACAAAGGCAATATCTCATTCCTGAAGAAAATAGACAGCAGATGTGACCCCCTAGTATTTATCCATTAAAAACAATGTATTCTAAAAATAAATTTCCATGTCAACAGAACAAAGCTGTTTATAAATAAGAAGGAATTTGGAGGTGTGAGGAAGACAAGAGGAAGCATCAGTAAGTTAAACAGCAAAAGCCAGGAAACAAGGCAGAATGAATGGTAACTAGGGACAAGGGAAACAGACTAAAGTAGGAAATTGATGAAGGGAAGAGCTTTATCCTTGGAATCCAAGAAGCTGAGATAAATGAGCAGATATTATTGATAGAAACTTACCTGAGCAGAAATACAAACTAGACAGTGGAATGATTTTAAGTAAGAAAAAAGTATGAGAAATTTTTTTGCCTAGATCAAATGATGGTACAGACACATTTTGGGCGAAAGTGGAGAGGATATAAGAGATTGCAAAAAAAAAAAAAAAAAAGCAGTGGAAACAGAACAATGAGGGAAGGAGAACAAGATTGTGAAAGAATAGAAGTATATAAAATAATAGAAGTATATCAGCAGAATCTCCAAAGACATTAAAACAGGTAAAAGAAAATTGCAGAAAAGAAACAATCAGTGTATGAGGGTTAGGAAATAAAAGGTTAAGTAACCGAAAAGAATACTTTGGGCAAAGTCAACAGAAGTTACATTATCTAATCAATAACTGTGAAGCACGGTTCCCATATTATTGTTGTTTGTAAAACATAAAAAGTGGAGAGAGTGAAGAGATAAGTGTTCACAAAGAAATCTACTCATTACCTGACTTATGAAACTGTTACCCCTCTGTACATCACCTTTAAAATAACAATTTTTAAAAACACAACAGTGTACTATTTTATGCAATCAAATACCAAAATACTACATGTAGCAACTTTATGTGGTAAAGAGAATGTCTATTAAATTGACAAAAAGACGGTAAGTTGAATAATGCAACACAGGCTGAGAGAAGACAACAGAAATCAATCAAAGCTATCCTTTAAAAAAAATGGAATAAAGAGGTGTGAACACACACCGAAGGACTAGCCACGAAGTGCCAATAGTGCAAGGGTGCAAAAGCCAGGTGAAACTTGATGGTATCTTGACAGCTTCAGGGTTCGGAAAGTGAGTAGCTAGCTCCGAAGTGTCCAGAAGGATTTGTGACGAGAAGAAGAGATAACGACGTTCGGGAGCGCTGGAATGGAGATGGAGGCGGAGGCCTCGAGAGGCTGGGGGTGGGAGAAGCGTAAAACGCTCTTCCGTGGAAGCTGAGGTTAACAGGCAGGAAGGTCCGACTGGAAAATGCAAGGCGCCGGGGCGGAGGATGAGGACGGGATGGGGGAGAACAGACAGCGACTGGGCACCAACCAAGGACCAAAGACCGGGATGCCAAAATGGGAAATGGGGCGGAAATGGGGCGATCTGAGGTGGAAAAGTAGAAGACTAAATCAAAACCATCCTCTGGGTCAAACAGGTGAAGAGAAATGCCCCCGACCACGTAGAAAACGGGGAGGGGGGACAGCGGCCTGAAAGGAGGGGGGGAGAGGAATAAAGGCAGGGGGGAAGCAGAGAGGGGGGGAGAGGGAGGGAGACGCTGCGCCCCGTCATCCCCATGATCGTGTACTAATTACACCCGGCGGTAACTCGGGCTGGGGTCCTGGCTCCGCTCACGGACCTCGGTGACACCGCCGCCACCCACTCCTACCCCCCGAAACGCGAAAACATCCGAGGGACGCAGGGCTGGACACTTCAGCCAGGCGTGACCTTCCCCGACCAGCCCCCGAGGTTCGCCCCTCCGATCGCCTCCTGCCCCCTCCACCGCCCCGATCCCCCCGTCCGGGGTGGGGAGCAGGGAACCCCCCGGGCCGCCGTGTGTGTGTGTTTACGTAGCCAGGGCCGCGTGACGGAGAGGGACGCGCGGGTGATGCCCACCTCCCGCGCCGCGGAGCCCGTGGGAGCAGCGGGCCGAGGGGCGCCGAGCCCCCCGCCGCCGCCTCCGTCCCCCCCCCCCCCCGTAAACACCGGCCGGCCGGCGAGCGCGGGGCCGGGCGGGGCGCCGGCACTCACCTCCTCAGGAATGGCGGGGTCCGCAGCCGAAGAGGCCGCGGCGCCGGCCTCGGCTTCCATGTCCCCGTTGAACAGAGCCTGGCCCTGCTCCGCGCCGCCGCCGCCGCTCAGCGCCGCCATCTTATAACCGAAAGCCGGGCCCGAGCGGCCGCTGCTGGGCGGGGAGGGGGAAGGGAGGCGGAGGGCGGGGGGGAGGCGGGGGCGGAGGGCGCGGGGGGCGCGGGCAACGCGAGAGGGGCGGCCGGGGCGGCGCCGCGGGAGAGAGGGCGCCGGCGCCACCTCAGGTTCCCGGCCCGCGGCCCCCGGCGCAGCCGAGCCTGAGGGGATCCGGGGAAGGACCCGGGGCGGGGAGGGGGGGAGGGGGGGAGCCGGCGAAGGGGGTGGAGACGACGAGGAGTCGCCGCGGCAACGGCGTCACTGGCGTGTCACGGCCGTGACGTCACCGCAGGCCGCGTGACGTCATCGGAGGAGCGCCCTCGCGCCGTCGTCGGGGGAGGTTCCTTCCTCGCCCACCTCTCTCGGCGGCCCTCTCCCTCGCTCCGTCTCCCCCTCCCTCCCTCCCTCCCTCCCTCCGCCGTTTCCATGGCTCCCACTTCCTACTTTTCCTCGGCTCCTGGGTCCTCAGGCTGTCCTGGAAGGCGGGAGTTACTAGGGAGCCCGGGCGGCGGGGTTCGCACAGACGGAGAAATCCTAGAGCGAGGAAGGCGGGGAAGCCCGCAGCACTTGTATTTCCATTACCACGAAATCTGCGGGTCATCAAAATAGGACCGTCCATCCCAAGGCTGAAACACCCCGGGCGAGCTTCCGAGAATGCGTTCGGAACGGTCACGGTGTGAGTGTGGTGCTTTACTCATTCCTGAAAGGACGCGACCTGGCAGAATGAGTCTAAGTGGGAGTCTAAGGCTGCTGAGTGGGAAGGTAAGGGAAGCCCATTTAAGGTCATCTATCTCCCCCCAGATTTAACAAGAGCGAGGACCTGTGCCAGCCACATATCATTTTAGACATCTGAACATCAGAACTAATCATTTTTACCAGTTGGCCCGCTCCACCAGATCCTTTTTTGTGTTGGTTATTTTCAAGATGGGCTCTCTATGTATGTGTGTGGCCAGCCTGGACTGTGATACTCCTATTTGTGGTTCCCGTTCCCACTGGGATTGCATGCGCTCCCCTTCGCACCATTTGTTTCCCCCATATCTTGGGATGCAGGAATGCCCCCGCCACATTCTAGTCATTAGCTGAGATGGAGTTTTAAGAACTTTTATTCCTTGAGCTGGCCTGGATTCTCCAGTCCTGGATCTGCGTCGCCCATGGAACTAAGATTACAAACTTGAGCCATTGTGCCTGGGAAAATTAATCTCCCTCCCCCCCTCAAAAAACAAAACAAAACAAAAACCTTGTATGCTTTGTGCTTACATGGATAGAAAGAACACGCCAAGATAGCCAGGTGCCAGTGCCTCGCACCTGTAATCCTAGGGACTCAGGAGGCTGAGAGCTGAGGATTGCGATTCAAAGCCAGCCTGGTAGGAAAGTTCATGAGACTCTGATGCACTACCAGAAAAGCTAGTAGTGGAGCTGTGGCTCTAGTGATAGAGAGTCTTGAGCACAAAAGCTCAGGGTCAGCACATAAGCCCAGGGGTCAAGCCCATAACCAGCACAAAAAAGGAAAAAAAAGAATATGACAAAATATTCTCTGTAAATATGATAGGAGGTCAAGTAAATTTTCTTTCAGTTACTGAATGGAATGAGACTCTCTTTTGTTTTGGTTTTGGTTTTGAAGCTTGAAGGCTTGAAGCTTCAAGTTAGAGCCTGGGCAGTGTGCTCTACTGCTTGCACCACAGCGCCACTTCTGGCTTTTTGCTGGTTAATTGGAGATAAGAGTCTCATAGGCTTACCTACCTGGCTTCCAACGGAGATCCTCAGATCTCAACTGCCTGTAACTAGGATTACAGGAGTGAGCAACAGGGACCTGGCCCAATTCATTATTAAAAATAAAGATAGGGGCTGGGAAGGTGGCTCAGTGGTAGTGTGCTTGCCTCCCATTCATGAGGCCCTGCGTTCGATTCTCAGCACCACATAAACAGAAAAAGCCAGAAGTGGCGCTATGGCTCAAGTTGTAGAGACCTAGCCTTGAACTGAAGAGCTGGGGGACAGCACCCAGGCCCAGAGTTCAAGCCCCGTGACCGACAAAAATAAATAAATAAAGATATATTTGATATAAAATTAAAGGAAGACAAAAACGGGAGTTAGAAACAAGTTACTGATGGTGTGTGATTAGTCACCAAAAGAATCTAAACACAAAGTCATAAAAGCTTAAGGAGATTTTGTCTTTTTTGTGTTTCCAATGGGATTACAGAGTCTACCAGTAACCTCTGGGTACTTAGGATATTGAAGCAGTATGAAGCTGTCCTACTAAGGCTGGAAGGCTGGGAGCTGATACTTCCTTCAGGGTGAGAGATGGGTGTGTGGTTGCTTGATGAATCAGAAAATATTAAGGTTCCTATACTCCTAAAAATACCACCAATCAGATACCACTCCATTGTATATTCTCTTCCAAGTAGGAAAAATTCTTTGAAGGACAGTTGAAATCAGAAGGTGTCTAGACAAGCAGAGAACAAGTGAAAATGGTTCCTCTTTGAGATCACTTTTCACTACTTGTAGTTGAATTGCCTATGTACCCCCAGGCCCATTATCCTTTTCTGGTTTCTTTTCTCACAGAACTTGTGTTAGTCAGTTGAAGCTGCCATAGCAAAGTGTCATAGAGTGGGTGGCATATAAAACACAGAAAATGATTTCTCAGTTCTAGACCCTGGAAGTGTCAGGTCTTGGTGCCTATGTGGTCAGTTTCACAGTCTGTCATGTGATATCCCCACCTGTCAGAAAGAAAATGTAAGAACTCCTAGGATTCCTTTTCCTTTTTGTTTGTTTGTTGCTGGCCCTGGGGTTTAAACTTGGAGCCTGGGCACTGTCCCTGAGCTGTTTTTGCTCAAGGCTAGTATTTGTGCTCTACTTAGGACTTTTTTGGTAATTTATTGAAGAGTTCACAGACTTTCCTGCCGGGGCTGGCTTCAAACCTCAACCCTCAGAGTAGCTAAAGTAGCTAGGATTAAAGGCCTGGGCCACCAGCTAGGATTCCCTTTTTATTGATCCCAATCTTGAGGGCCTTGTCTTCAGGACCCTCTCAAAGGCTCCCTCTCCAAATACCACCATATTGTAAGGTCAGGATTTTGGCGTACAGTTTGGCTGGCAGAACACAGATAATCTGTTGCAGAACTTCTACTTTGAAAAAAAAACAAAAAAACAAAAAAACCACAAACCTATTCCATTGTTTCATTTACAATGATGCTTCTAAATCAGTATCCCGGTCCAGTTCTCTCTCCCTGGCTTCAACTTCTGCTTCTGGCTGCCTAGTAGACACCTGCACCCAAAGGTACCATAAACAGTGTGTTGTCAGCATCTCCCCAACTAAGTTCTACAGCTCCCATTTAACTTCAACAGCTGTTCAACCTGAAATAAAGGATCAAGTATCAGTTTGCCATACCATCTTAAATATGAATCCCACATTTTAATCTCTGTTGTAGATATAACAAAGATTTTGGAGCTCCAGTCTGTGTAGGCATTTTTTAGTAACTGAATTCAGCTACTTCAGAAATTTTTCTAACAACAGAATGCTAAGTGGCTGTCTCCTCAATGTCCCATCTTTCTGCTCAGTTATCTTCTGCTGAAGGAAATATAGATTTTCCCCTTTTAAAAAAAATTCTCATTTAAGCTGGGCACTATTGGCTCACCCCTGTAATCCTAGCTACTCAGGAAACTGAGGTCTGAGAATCATGGTTCAAAGCCAGCCCAGGCAGGAATGTCCATAAGACTCTTACTTCCAATTACCAAAAAACTGGCATTGGTGCTGTGGCTTAATTGTAGAGTGCTTGCCCTGAGCTGAAGATCCAGGGACAGTGCCCAGGCCCAGAGTTCAAGCCCCACAACTGACAAAAAAGAAAATCCCATTCATTTTTTTTTTTTTTTTTATCCCATTCATTCTTTTGATACTTCTTTAGCTATCTTGTTTGTTCTTGGGTCTGAAGTTCTATTTTCAGCATCTTCCATTCATCACTTTCTTTCACTTTTTATTGACATTAGATAAGTGAAGACAAATGTTAACATTTTTATTAATGTACCTGATCTCTACTATTATATGTCAACCGCACATGGGGTGGGGGGGCTACACACTGGTCCTGGGGTTTGAACTCAGGACCTGGAGCACTGTCTCTGAGCTTCATTTGCTGAAGGCTAGCACTCTACCACTTGAGCCACAACTACACTTCTTCTATTTTTGGTAGTTTTTTGGAAATTAGAGTCTCATTGACTTTACTAACCAGGCTGGCTTTGAATGGCTTGCCCCACGTCTCAGCCTCCTGAGTAGATAGGATTATATGCGTGAGCTACTGGTGCCTGACAAAATATGTATTTGTATTTTTATATATTAAAGTAACAGTGATCTTTGAATGCAAATATTCTAGTTATTCATATAATTATGGAGAAAGATTCCATCTTCCTAAAGCTGTTCAGAATTTCATGTGCTTTTGTAGGTGCCGCTTTTCACATAAGAACTTCCCTTACATGAATATAAACATATTCTGCCTTATTTTATACATGACAATTACTCACTCTGAAGGAAAGTCAGAGGGTAGGAAACCCAAGAGTCAGAAACACTATTACTCAAGTCAGAAGACTGAATATTCTATCATTTTACCTTTCATGTTGTCTACTACATTTCAAGCATATTGTAAGTGCAGTGGATTGTTCCAAATGAGATTAGGGCCAATGAGTTTTGAAATGTTAAAGAGAAGATGTGGCTAAAATTGTCACTGAAACGTTAGCAGCAGGAACAGCTGTAATGGCAGCAACTATTAGAAGTCAAACTTTATTGCTCCTGGCTTATATGGAATATACGGAGATGTGTATATATATATATGATACAAATGCAAACAACAGCGCTAACAACTACCTTTGGAAGTTTAAAGATACATCAGTTGGGCGCTAGTGACTCACACCTGTAATCCTAGTTACTCAGGAGGCTGAGACCTGAGGATCACAGTTTGAAACCAGTGTGGCAGGAAAGTCAGTGAAACTCTTATCTCCAATAAACTA